AGATTTATAACACCTACACTCAACACTAAATAAAAGGAGAAGGAGAAGAAATAAGTCAGGCGGTTGGTTAATTAATGATAATCCAGTGATAGTCTGTCCGTGAGAAAACTTCCCTCCCCTCAAAACAAAAGGATTTGTTACACCCCACCACTCCAATTAGAGTAACACATTGCAGACGAGCAGGAAGGAGTTAATAGCACACACAGCTAAATTGAAATCAGTGGCATCCATCACCAAACAACAGAGAACTTAAAATTCCAATAACAAACGGAAAACAAAAGATAGAATAACTTGGGAGTAAAAGCAAAAATAAATCTCTACGAATTAAGAAGACATCTACACAGGAAATATCAAATAAATAAGCAACATCTAAAAACAGCTGTGATAATCCAGTCGAAAACAGAGAAAGTTGGTGTTGCAAATTATAGATCTGCATAGAATTCTTCATTACATCCGAATAGGGAAATGAGAAGAACATTTTCCTTTTTCGTTGTCTCCCTCCCCCCCTTACTCTTCTTGTTTGGGATCCATCCTCTTGATTATTTTAGTTCACGAAAGTGGACACGCGTGTGTAAAGTGAATGGAGGAAAAGAAACCGAAGCAATAGCTATATCTGTTACTTTTTCCCCCCATGGTGGGGATACAAGGCTAATATTAATGAGGATTGATCCACATATAATTCATGACTGCATGTTTTCTATAATGTTTTTAATGGCAATCGGTGAATCCAATGTGCAACAGCATGTGTTTTTTCAATAAAATTATATATTTTTTTACAATCAATTGACGTGTCCGGATCCTTAAGTTGACCGCTACTAACCCGTTATCTCCTAACGGGTTAACCTTCTTCTTTTTGTACGTGATTATTGATACTCACCTCCCCCACCCGTAGACTTCAATGGGGTTCAAATTTAAGTTTAGAATTTTCAGACAGGATTAGATGAACATAGTGACGACCTACATATTTTTCTCATCGCATGTTTCTTTTAAAGTAACATTAATCCTAGGAGTTCAATCTTAAAAATGCATTCAAGTACATTAACTATTCTGACTCCGATTGTTGTATTAGCGATTTATCCTTTGCTGGGACCTCTATGCCTGGCCTGTATAAGCAAATATAAACACTGCAGAAAATCCTTATCAGATAGCTGAACTCACCAAATACCTTTTCATCCACGAAGGTGCTTTTTTTAATGCAGCAGGGTTACAGCAGACAACAGGATACAACAGATTAATGAATAGACAGTATTTGAAGGTCGAAGATAGTAATGTTTCCAAGTATGCAATGAAGATTAACATGTGGTCATGTTACTGCCAGCCATGACACTTATGGCTCTACTAACAAGAAAGGGGAAATACATCATAGATGGGAGGGAACACAGAACAACATGTAACCAGAATGACCACAAGATGGCAGCACATGAATCAGCTATAATGCTGCTCACAACACATGGCTTAAAGAAAATGAACTATATAAATTCTCATTTCACATTAATGTGAATATCAACTATGACTATGGATTGTGTCATTTTTATACAGCTATTGTGACAGCACATAAACTATTAACAAAATGTAGCTTATTTTTGCATCACTCAGCTGTAGATCATCAAATCATCTCTGAATTCATGCTGACACTGTCCTTCCCTCTGGAGGGTGGCTACATTTCTTCTCCATGGTCCCTGTGTGTTGTGAAGTAACCACCACATTTTAAGCTCACACCCGTGATGGACTACAATCTCACATTTAGTTTACTAATGTGTATTGAGATTGTAGTCTGTCATGGAGTAGTGTAGTGGCTACATTACAAATAAAACACAGGGACCAGGGGGAACAAAAGTAACCACCCTCCAGAAGAAAGGGCAGTGTCAGCACAAATTCAGAGATGATTTGAGGATGTACAGCCGAGTAATAAACAAATGAGCTACATTTTGTTAATAGTTAGGTGTTTGAATGCATTTTTTAAGAGTTAACTCCTGAGGTTAGTGTCACTTTAATACACAATCTGGGACACAAAAAGTAGGTTGTACAGCACAGAATCATGTGATGAGAACCTTCAGTCCGTGCCAGAATTAGATTAAAATTCAATTCAGATGGTCTTTATGGCCAGAGAACATCTTTTCCGTAGTAGAAGTGTATTGATTGAAACAGGACTGTAAGTCCCATATATGTACCTTCCCTCCAATGATGCAATGTCTGCAAGCTGTTTCTTCAGCACGGACATCTTTGCCCAGTCTTCTTCTAGATTGCACACCTCTTTGACCATCTTGATTCCGTGCGTGCACACAAGAGTTATTTTATTGCAGTGTCAATCCTTGCTGGGGACGTACACTGAGCCCATTGAGAATGTGCATGCTCAGCTCAGTGTACATTCTCAAGAAGTTTGCTAGCAGGCAGGTAAGAAGCTTTTATTTGCAGAACATATATAGTTTGTCTCTTCTGCAATTGAAAGCCTTACTGCTAGCATTTTTTTAGGTAAAGTTCAGCTTTAAAGTAGTATTTCACTTTTGAACGTTTGTTCATTAAAGAATCCAGATCAAACAAAGCATTGCTTTAAATTTTTGGCCAAACACAGTCATCAGGTTTCTGAACAACTGCTTCCATGTCTCTCAGCTCAGCGTCCCTGAACTTCCTGTCCAGTACAAGATCACAAGGAACAGCTTGGAGACGGAAGGAGGGAAGTACCTTAATTTGCTGTGTCTGTTTGTTTGTGGAGACACATACATCTTACTAGCACACACAAGGGTGACTGCGTAGTACTCTGCTTGAGAAAACAGTCACTCTAAAACAGGAAGTCAGGACCAGTGCTCAGGGGACCAGCTCCTTCTGGAGGAAACTAAAACTTTTAAACATCAAGGAGCAGCATTCATTGTAAGTGATTTCATCAGCATTTAAAATAACTTAAAATCCTTTTGACTTTAATATCACTTTAAAATGGACCTTTATCCATATCTTTAAAATAACAAACTCACCTTTAGAAATGTTTAGTAATGACAATCTACAAACACATACGTCTAGATAATTGCCTGCTTTGCATTCTTTGCATACTGTATTACTCTTTTCTTCTAAAAAGTATTCTGACAGTGGCCATGTTTACTAAGGGCAGATTACTAGCTCTCCTAATACTTCCTGGATTTCTATCACATATGACTAGGACATGTGACCATGCACATCATCTCAGGGGAGGGAAATGCCTCTCTCTATGAGATCTCCTGAGATTACAGATGAGATTTCCCAGCAATGCTCTGCTGATGACAAGGCAATCCCAATGTGCATTGCTTTGGCAAACTGAAGTAATTTGCCCTTTCAAAGCAGGAAGTGAATGCTCTGCAAGTGTAAGTATTTCATAATCACAGCATTTTACAAATACCATGTATGTGTTGTTATTATTAATCATCAAACCTAGAGGGATGCATTGGTAGAATTTGAGTTTTGAGTGTAAAGGTCTGCTTTAAAAGAGAACTTTGGGGTAAGTGTTTTTCCCCATAGTTCTCTTTAGGCTATTGCCCGCAATATACTGAGAGCCCCGCAGCCGGGACGGATCCTAACAATACTGTCGAGATCCACCCAGCTGCGTGAGTGACAGCTGGCTCTGCCTGTCTAGAGGCAGAGGCGGCTGTGCCCTCCCCCGTTCGTTCCTCCACTCAGCGCTGGAGGATCAGAGAGGGGAGGGGGGAATCCCTGCGGGGAGCGGTGACTAACAGTCACCGCTCACTGCAGGGAGACGATCGGGATGTGAGCTGATCGGCTGCATGTTTTTGCTCACTTCCCGATCAATAGAGCCGACCTATGACAGCTTCTTTGTCACAAGTCAGCTCTAACTATGAGGATGAGTGGAAATCGCTCACCTCATAGTTCTCCTTTAACTCGTCCAGTAGACAGATGCAGCAATGTGTAGCTGTCCATGGTGCTGAACTTGTAAGTTTTCTCATTTATTTAAATGTTATAAACCGTTTGAAGTTTTTACACCTATACATTTAATCTTCTGTACATGTCTTACTTTCTTTGGTATTACTAGATACAATTGCTGACACAATATTAGTCACATTAGTTAATGTATTGATTCTATAAATGAGAAATATAGTATAATTTTAGTCACACCTTAGATGTATTGTTCCTGGATAACAGCTTGTAAATGTTGGATATCAGAGATCATTTAACTTGCTTTTGAAGGTTTAAGGGCATATGCAGGCAGATTTGACCACATCTGCCATAATAGGTGATTGTATAAAGTGATTATGGCATGTCAACACCAATATCAAAAGGTTACAATTGGTTGTTTTTTGTTTTTTTTTATCATCCCTGCATCTGTAAATGCAGTATATGCAATCAACGTAGTACCATTTGTTTTGCTCCCTACACAGTGTATGAGTTAAGCTAGAAAACCAAAACATTATGATTGTAAAGATTTGCCGATATGTTACAGATTGGCTGTCTGAGATAGGCAAACTGATTATTCTGCATGTAACCTTCCTTGTGATTTGTTCCTCTGTCTTACATTTTAAAAACTACTCAGCAAAACACTTCCACTTCCATTTTTCTCACATTTATAGTCTATCACACTGAGCATGTTTAAATGTGTTTTTATGTTGAATGTTCTAATGTTAACACTATTAAATAATAATCTTGTGATTATTATTGTATTTGCAATTCAGGGTTACAGATCTTATTGGACACATTATCTAACCTCATGTACATAAAGCACTTCCCAAGACCATCACAATTGCAACAGAAAGCTTGCAATTTTTCACAGTGCGACTTCTATCTCTGTACTGTGCTTTCTATTGATTTGTTAACCAGTTAAGTGCTAAAGCAATACTGAGTTCCTTCACCTCTTGCTAGAAACTGTGATGATTGACCAAGATAGTTTTGTGATTGGGTGGGAAGGGGGAAGCATCTTTGAGAGTGTGAGAGTGCTGAGCATGCATAAATAAGCCTGTAGGAGAAATCTCTCTCTCCTTCCCTCTCTCCTCCTCTCCTCTCTCTCCTGAGTGGACCACGGAGAGACTGCTTCTATGCATGCAAAACGGGGAGAGACAGAGAAATGTCAAAAGGGAGGGGGCGATACAAGGAAAGAGTGAAGCATTATCAGCGACAGATGAGAGTGGTGTGACTGAAGCTCACTGTATATGTGTGTGCGGGCGACAGAGGATCAGATAGGAGTGAACACGAGAGAGGAGCACATTAGTCCTGCCTGCTGCAGCAGGGGAGAGGGGGGGCCATGCCACCAGCACCTTTCAGGCACCTTACAAGACAGCTGGTCAGCACACAGACATGCATTGGAAGCCAGAGGGGATGTTCTTAACTCAATGGTGTAGGGGTTTTCTCTGTTTGGGGCAACTGCTAGCATGGACTCTTTTGCTGAAGACTGGCGGGTAGAGTGGTACTCTGAATCCTAACTGTCTGAAAAAGTACTTCTGTTCTGCACCTTCTTGTTTGTGACAATGGGAGAAATTTGTCATTGGATGGATTAATACTGCCAATTAAATTCAGGGGTAAACCCTTTTTTACCTGTCAGTTTGTATCCCTCCCCTCCCCTGCCCCACTTAACCTGTGAAACCACCTGCGCCATGAGACGGTCGAGTACGGATGAATCTACTTACCATCGCAGTCCTTCCCTGGACAGCAAAGACTACTCTCTCCCCCAAGGTAGTGCCTTCCGGCGCTACAGCAGCCTCTACGGAGGGCAGTTTGGGGCATCGGCAGGGGGCTCATTTTTTGGGTTCCACACTAACCCCGGTCCCAAAGCTACAAAATCCAAGTACACTTCCCCAAAGGGCAACAAGTACGTGGTTTTTTACCTGGATCTCTCCTTCATTTTCCTCCTAGAGCTGAAGAGGTGCAGGATGGCACAAAACTGCCTGCAGTGTATGAAATATCTCATGTTCATCTTCAACCTCCTTTTTTGGGTAAGTTCCTGGGGACTGGAAGGGGTGGGGGTATTTATGTATTTCCCTAATTGTGAAAGCAAAACTGTGAATATTCTGTGACAAAATTGTGAATGTAGCTAAGGATTTATGATGGCATGTGAACTGACTTGTTAATTAGTGGAAGTGTCAATCTTATATCACAGCAGTTAAGCCCTCCACTTTATTTAGTTGTTGTTATAAGCCATGTAAAAGCCTAAAATATACTCAAAGTTATGTTTCTATTTGACAAGAGGGTTAACAGTAACAAAAAGCAACTAATTTGAAAACAAAAATTATTCAATAGTTTTATCTTTACCTTTTCTGACACATTAGAACTGTGTTATGTAACATAAGCTCATTGTTAAAGTTCTATGTTAATAAATCAACAGCATCTCAGTCATTTTTAGACTACCCATTTTCTGCTGTATTTATGAGAAATGTTATTCCGCGTGCTGTGTAGTTCATACATGTACCATGGGGTAAAATGTGCTGAAAAGCTAATTTGTGCAATTATATGGGAAGGAATTGTTTTGTTAGGCTTAGAATGCAGCTTGCTTTTTAAATGGTTTGCCTGATCTCTGCAGTTTTTGAAAAGAAAGTTGTACCATAAACTTGACCATTATATTTTGCACAAAAAACTTTCTGTAATGTCTAATCAGAAGTATATTTGGTTAATCATTGAAATTACCTCATGGCAGCCTCTGTATCAACCACAAGCAAGGGGCAAATACAGTATCTTAGGGAACTCAAGTGTGAATTAAAAAATGTTGGTATAAACACACACACACACACTTGAAAATCTCAAAATCAATGTGCTTGTAAGTCATTGCATCCCCAGGTTTGAAAGAAATCTGATTCCTCCATAAGCAGTACATTTTTAGAACTCCTGTCAGGGTTAGCCATGCTTTTGTTCCTACTAGTTCTGTGTGTGAGGTATCCATGTAGTATCATCTCTGCAGTTTTTTCAGCCTGGTTCTGCTACATACCCCTGTTTTTATATTTCTGATTATGTCTGCTAAATCTTCCCCGATAAAAACATGTATGTGTATAATAACAGTGGCTCTCTCTAGTCTCCCCCCATGCAGTAGCCCTGAATGTTCTGCTGTATTTAGGTGTATATGAATTTACTGCTTTAATGTGAGAGCTGTTGGTGTTAAATTAAAAGCAAGAAATCTATCCTCTTTAGGATGCAATACATGTACACTTTTGATTGGCAGTTGTTTAATTGAGGCTGGTGGTATTTTTAATTCTGGGTTTAGAGAACAGCATTCTGAACATAATAACATAGAAGTCACCTTTAGGTAACAGTTAGCACTCTCCTACAACTAACTGTCCTGCGAGTTGAGATGTTGGCACTATAGCTATACTAATCTGTAGGTAATTATTGGCTAAAACAAATACACCTCTAATAAGAGCAATACACACAATTCAATACTAATGTTCAACTGATATGCAAATATCTTTCTTTAGGTTACACTATCTCCTGGTAGCTGAACTCTGATTGGTTGCTATGGCTTACTAAACACTATTATTCTTTGCACAGTATTATCAAAAAGCTACTGTTTTAGAATACTTGGTTATCTGCATTGACAACATTTCTTTGAAGCAGCCTGTATACGGTGACACTATTTCTGTGAATGCATAGTATATGGAGGCAGTGCTGCATGCTCCTGAAAAAAATGGTCAACTTTTATCTGCCTATGTTCTCTGGTGATTATATTTGCCTAATGTTGCTTAATTATATGGATATGTTTACATAAACTGTTAAGGAATATAACTAATACTTTTCCTTTCAGAAATACAGCATGAGTTGTTACATGACTAAGGTGGTTGCCTATCCAAATGAATGAGAAGATTTATATACAGTATCTTTACAGTATCTTAATTGGAAAGCTCTTGGCATTTGGATTCCACATCTACACACTTACCACAGCCATTAAAAAGAATTCCATCTGCATGGAGCTCTTCAAAGAGAGAAAGAAAGTCAGGAACTGTGGCAGGTATATCTTGCCCCGGGATGACACAAAGGAAATAGGGAGCTAAGAGTTGACTCTGCCTCTTAGTCAAATATCAGTTTAAAAGTATACATTAGCATCACTCACACACTGTGCAGTATATTTGACATAGTATTTACTATGTACACGTTTACTATGTACATGTTTGTGCTGCTTCTTATTTGTACTGATAATAATTCCCATCAGTAGTGCCATACCACTATGCCACATACTGTACATGTTTTGCTGCCTCCTATTTGTACTCATACTTATCCCCATCATCCAGCTCAGCTTAAAATGTCTTAAAGAGTCAGTCTACCCAAAACTGATATTTGTTTTTATTTTTTGGCAGATGCTGCCAAATTCCACCATGCAGTTTTTAGTATATCTCTCTGCACTTGAGTTTTCAGGTCTGTTCCCCATCTATGGCCTTTTTCAGGCCCCCTTCCTGTGGGATTTCTAATTATTTATTTCATATTATACAAAAAATAACTTGAGATAATGGAGCACCTAAAGGTGGGCAAGAACACTCTCATCATAACTGAAACCTTGCTGCTGGAGTTTTCAAGAGATGTAAGAAGCCACGGGCTGGCTCAGGTTGCTAGGCTAAGCCTTAGGTATCACCTTTGGGTGTACTAAGCCTTTAGGTCCACTCCAGCACACTAAGGACTCTTTAGGTCCAGTCTAGAACACTAGTAAATAATTGCTGAAGGTAGATCATGTTGCTGATTTTTACATCACAGCTGGTGCAGATAGCTATATTCCAAGCTGCTGCTAATTTGTGGTGCAGTTTGTGCTAGTGTTTTGTGCCTAACCCTGCTACATGTAGAGCTTTGTGAGTTGTTAACTTCTTAACTGACCAACTTGATCTGCGCTGATTTGGTTCTTTCGATCACCTAACAATATCTATTCTCTCTGCTGTATATTTTGACCACAGTACTGTGTCAGGTCTGCTTTGCCAAAGCGTTCCCTACAAATAACAAGCTGAATCTTTTCTTTACTTATGGAGAAAGTCTTATAGTTTTGTCTCCAGTGTGGTCCCCTGGTTACTAGGATATTTAGACAGCTCAGTAAAGGTGGAATGTTGGAGAGGAACTTTATCATTAATGAAGGATACCAGTCTAAAAAAGCTGGATAATATATAAGTAGGTAACCAATTAGCACATTTACCACTTCTACTTGCAAATTTGAGGAACAACTAATATTTAGTTACCTGACACCCTTGAATATTTTGAATCTGTGCATAACCCCTCCGTATGGATGTATATCATTGCTTCCATGACATGAATAAAAAGTGTGGCTAAAAATATTGCTGGCCATATCTATGATATTATTATTTCTTAGAGAAAACCTCTGCTAAGTAAAAAAAATGGGTGTCTCTATTGCTGACCTCTGTGTCTGAAAATGCTTGTTTCCTGACTTTAAAACAGAACTCCAACATACAAATAAATAACCTATTAAAAAATAAAATTAAACCAGCTTTTACTGCAATATTCAGCTTCAACCCAGCGATTACTTCTGCTAGGTATCTGCAAACTGATGGCCAGCATTATTTAACCCTCTTCCTCTGAGCCCAAGTCATCGTGGATCTGCTTCAGTCTGTTACTTGACAGTGAAAGTAGAAACAGCACAGTCAAGAAGAATGGAGATAGGAAGGGATGACAGAGTGACTGAGCGATGAGCTCATGTCAGCACATGAACAGATTAGATTCTTCATTGCACAAGTTAGCTCTGCTATACAGGTACTGCAAGAGGTTGATACCAGGTCATATTCAGGCACACTTAAACTACATTTAATGATGTATTAATATTTACAGAGCTGCATTAATTTTTGTCTTTTTAGATTGAACTTTCAGAACAAAATGAACTTTCAGTTTAAATCAGCTAAATACATTCCCGGTACATCAAAACATTAGTCTTACAGTTGGGTTTCTTTTAGAAAGCAGCTACAGCTTAACTGGAGAAGCCTGTCCTCGCGCAGCATGCTGTAGAGACGGACATTTCTCTCAGTGTGCAAGCAGTGGTCCCTTCGCATAAATCTGATGAACCCCTGCTGAGCTATGTCTGTAGCTCTAAAATCGGCCATGCTTAAGCTCCATGCTCATTGCGGAGCTCTAGCTGAGTCAGCAGCGGGTGTGCAAAGGGACCACTGCTTCCACATACAGCGTCCTTATCTGCGGCATGGTGGCAGGGTCAGCCTTTTCTACGCAGTCGGTGGCTGCTTTCCAAAGAAAACCAGCTGTAAGAGTTTGTACACCTTTTGTTTTTATTGTACTTCGCTCATTTAAACTAAGGGGGATTTTCACAAAGATGTCAAAAGCAGCTGAGTGAATAACCCAGCCAAAGTGAAGTGAGCCGAACGCAGTTCAGCTATTCACTTCAGCCTTGTATGGCTGATTTCAGCCGTACAACGGCTAAAATCAGCCGTACATCTGTTGCCTTCGGTCAGCCGAACATGCTCCACATGTTCAGCTGAGCCGAGGTGCAGAGGGAGTTTGCCGTTCGCCCCTGTTCTCATAGGGGCTGAAGTGCAGTGAGTGAATGGCTCGGCTAATCTGCTCGTTACCTCCGAGGTACCGAGCCGAATAGAAAAAATGTAAACAAAAGAAAAAAAATGTTTAAAAATTATTTAAATAAATGTACAAAAATTTTAAAAAAGTCAAAAAAATAATAAGTGAGTGGGGTTCCCCCATAAAGTCCTACCAGGCCCTTAAGGTCTGGTAGGAATTTTAAGGAGGAACCCCACCCCTAAAATGGGGGAAAAAGACATAAGGTCCCCCCTAAAATTTCCAACCAGACCCTTGATCCGAGCACAGGCCTGACAGGGCTGGAAAGAGGGAGGGCCAAGCGAGTCGGAAAAATATAAACAACTGGGTGGAGCTAGTGGTGACATCACCGCAAGCTCTGCCCAACTGTTCACTTTTGGCCGGCACCTACCAGAGTCTTCCAGCAGGTCCCGGGCAAAGTAAAAGAACTGAGCGGAGCCGGCCGTGACGTCTTGGCATG